GGATAAAACATCTGCAAGGGAAAGGGGGAGGGCTAATGCAAGTGGTCTGCTGCTACGGGCTCTCTCTTTCACACCGCAAATGCGTACCCACAGAGTGACAACTCCCTCAAATGGACGATCAGAATCCACAACGTGTGTGGGGAAGGCTGGTCGGGGCAGTGGGGGAGTAGGGTCGGCGCAATGGGGCAGGAGGATCGGCGCACTGGCGGAGGAAGGTCGGCGCAGTGGATGAGGTGTTGACATTCTACGAAATTGGTTGGTGAGACAATGCACGCACGCAGGTCGCGGATGACCATCCCTACACGAGGGGGAACGGTCGGTGCCGTGCGGGAGGAGGGTGGGCGCGTGGCTGGGCGCTATGGGGGAGGAGGGTGGGCGTGGAGGAGGAGGATGGGCGCAGGGGGGGAGGAGGGTCGGCGCAGGCGGGGAGGAGGGCTGATGTAGGGAGGGGAGAGGGTCGGCGCAGAGGTGTGTTTGTGTGACCACCAAAAATTTTGTTGTTTCTTTTTTTGGATCCGTGATCGCCCCTCTATGCAGACACACACACACACACACACACACACACACACCCGCTCACCCACCCACCCACACACACACCCACACCCACACACACCCACCCACCCACCCACCCACCCACACACACACACATGCACACACACACACACACACACGCGCGCACACACATACACACACACACAGAAGACCGGCTCTTTTGGCCCCAGTACACTCTCCTGGTTGAGATGTTGAGGAATTACGTAATTCCCAGCCTCATGTTCCTTTCGAGTGAAAAAAAAAAAAGAAAACCAAAACAAACGGAGATGATCTTCTTCATAAATTAGCTGAATTACATCGTAGGCTTTCTCAAAAAAGAAAGAAAGAAAAAAAAAGAACACCGGCTCTTTTGCACGGTAGAAAAACCTCCTCATTGGTTAAGCTTTGAGTGCGCCCTGTTTTTGAACCTTTTTTTTTTTTAACAAGGAAGGATGAGCACAGGTGGAGTAAAACTCACAGATCGAGGAAAATTGCTTTTCGTTCATTTTTCAGGAAGTTGTGATGGATTTGACATTGCCAGCGAATCCTTGCTGCCCATTAATGGTGAAGAGGGAAGGACGCAGGGACTCGGATGAAATATGTCGAGCAGCAAACATTCAAAATTACAAGAAAAAGAGTACATGATATTTTGAGAAGCTGATGGGAACGAGGAGTTTGTGGCTGTCGTTGAATGAGAGAAACGGATATGGGAGCACTGGGTAGGCGCGGAAGCACGTCGAGGGGGATGTTGGGAAGGATGGAGAACGTCTTCCCTTTGGAGACATGGCTGGGTCATTCAGAAGATGATATCTTCTTGAGGGCACCCAGAGGTGGGGGTGTAGAAGGCGGAGGACTGATGTTGGGTGGTGGCACATCAGCTGCCGCCGAGACAGCCAAGGCGTGGGCGGTTGTCCGAAGTTTCAGCAAGCAAGATGAAGACCACAGGAGGAGTAAGGGGAGGAGGATTACAGATGGCAGTGACAGCAATCGCAGCGGGAGCAACAGCAGCATGACTGGCTCTTTGCTGCTGAAGAAAGCGGTTGGCGATGTGTTAATGGCATTGCATGGGCTTCGGCGGAATCGTTTCTTCATTCCAATAGGCAACGGGGAGGCTGAAGTTCTGGTCGGCCTCCTCCGGGGCAGCCTGGTGGGAGCGGATGGAGGCAGCAGCAGCAGCAGCAGGAGGGTAGCGATGGGAACGTCTCATGAGCTGGCTGAGGTCCAAGAGTGTTGTCTTCTATTGCTGCATGTGTGGGTCCGGCGAGCTGCAGTCAATCGGCGCGCAGATGGGTCTTTTGTGGTCACATCTCTGCCGACTTCCTGCCTGCATGCTGCTGTTGAAGCTGCGCGGCTAGTGCTCCGCCACGCAGAGGGACCCGAAGAGGTGAATCAAGGCGGCAGGAGCACAGCAGCAGCAATGCTGTTTCTAGGGGGAGTGAGCACTGCGGGTCGTTTCTGTACCAAGGAGCTGCGCCAAGCATGCCAGTCTGCAGTTGTGGAAGCAATGCGCATGCGTCCTGCATCAATTCTGCGGAGCGGGAAGCTTCCAGTCGCGCTGTCGGGGGTGGGTTATCTCCTGTATGAAGCGCACGGGCAAGCCTTGGAGTCGTTGGTCAGAGCCCTTGTTTCGCTTTGGAGCAGCAGCAGGAGGAGCCAGGGCGGCACCAGCGCCATCGGGACTGCCAAGAGTGAAGACGATAGACGAGCAGATGAGCAGACATGGCGGCCATCTTTGGAGGAAGGCAGGCTCGTCTGTCGATTGCTGGAATACGAGGGCGTGGTCATCCAACGGCGTGCAAGGGCTCAGAGGAGCCTCAATCAACGGATGATCGGTCTTGCTGATGCCAGGGTGTTGGCAAAGCTTGTCTCGGCGGCAGTTAGGTGCGAAAACTGTGGAGACATCATTCTTGGCGTAGCAGAGGAGGAGGAAGAGAGGGGAAGGAAGACTAGGAGGACGGGAAACGGACAGAGTTTCGGGGAAGACGAGATTCTTGCTGTGCGTTGCGCAAGTGCGATGGCCCTTGCAGGATTGCTGAGGGGGTTTCGGAACGGAGTGGATGCCAGATCAACAAGGTCCCAAGCTGCTGCTGCTGCTGCTGCTTTAGCCCCCCACCCCCATCATACCAGGCACAGTCAACAGGATGCCCGTGGAGGCCTTCGCCATCAACCAGCAGGGTGGGAAAAGTTATCCGACTGGGATATGGTAGCGTTCACTCTTGAAGATTCCCTGAGGTGGGTGGCCGACGAAGCTGCTTCTACATCTCTTATCTCCGTTGGCCACGTGAGAGCAGGAGCAGCCACAGGTGGATTGGCACGGACGTCGACACCGAGGATTGCTGGATCTGGTATGCAGACGAGGTTGCCATTGGCTAGTTGTCCTTCCCCGGAGGAGACTCAGTTGTCGTCAACAATAAGTCGTTCGCAAGATGCCCGCAATAGCTGCTGCCAGAGCTGCGGGGATCCCCTCACGCTGATGGGAGTGCGCGAGGGGAGTGTCGAGCTTGGACGGCAGCGATGCTGGAGACGTTTTGTAGCGTATGCATGCACTCTCTATTCAGCGGGCGACGCTGGATCGGGTCTGCGATTTACGCCTGCAATCGCCGACCTTCTGACGTGGTTCTTGTTGGAAGAATGTTTGTGTGGTTTAGATTGGAGGCTGCAGAAGGCGGCCAATACTATGGTGAACCACCCACTGGGTCTTCAACGTTGTCAACAATGCGGAAGTAATGCGGTGAGGAGAGCGGGGAGGAAGTACGTGGAAGGACAAGAAGGAGGGAATGCCAAGGGGGGCAAATGGATGGCAATGACCAATAGCTTTGAAGAGGATTTGCGACAGCACGTCGCAGGTCTGGTATTCAGGGAGGCCGGTGTGGTGACCCGAGCGCTCTGTGAGCAGTACAGGCAGGTGGACAGCGATGTGGGAACACAGAAGAGGATCGTCACGAAGATGATGGCATACGCGCAAGGTCTACACAAAGGGCTGAGACTGTATTATGGACTCCAACATGCAGCAGCACAAGAGGGACTCATGGGGGTGGAGCAAGAGGAGAGAGAGGGGGCGCCGTGGAGAAGTCTGGGGGAAGGCCCGAGGCAGAAGGGTGAGATGGCGGCTGGGCTAAGGAAACTTCTGGAAGCAAGCTTTCTGGCAGTAAGTGTGGTGTTTGAACGGGCCTTTGTCCAGAGTGATGAGTGGGGTCACCCTGCGAATAAGCATGTGGCAACCAACAAGAAATATGGTGATGAACCGGAAAGGAAAACAGGGACCTGGTGCAGGGTAGGAACTTCAGATATGGCGGCCGAGGCCCTAGATGCCCTTTCTTGTATGGAGTTCTTCCGGGTCTATTATGGTGGCTACAAGGACCTGGTGCAGCGTCTTTTTGATGTCGTTACGTGCGAGCAACAACATGGTCTTGACGACAAGGATGATGCCGAGCAAGACGTACGCCGAGGAGGAGTAGGGATGTTGATGTCCTTGTTTCCTTCCTATAAGGAGACGGTGGATTGGCCTGGGTGGATGGAGCTTGTGTCGCCGGTCAGGGCCGTAAAGTGGACCGAAGACTTGCCACACTCTGCACGTGTTGTCTTCTATATGCAGGTGCTGGCCCAATGCATGGAGATGGAAATCGATGTCTTTGCCGATAGGATTGCTCCTACGGTATTCCTCTACCTACATCATCCTCGTAAGCAAATGGCGATGGCTGCCCATCAGCTGTTCTCTTCCTTCCTTCAGTGGGGGCGTTCTGTTCCTCCTGCTCCTCCTCCTCTTGCACTTAGCAGCAGCAAGGAAGTAGAAAGTGATCGCAGCGTCGTCCATGTCGAGTCTTTGTCTTGCGAGAATGACACATGTATAAAGGATGCAGGAGATAAGCGAGGTGAGGGACGAGGCGGGGAGGGCAAGGCTGAACGGAAAAGTGTTAGTGAGGCAATGGCCCTAGTTGATTTTGGCGGCCAGGTGATACCAGCCGGCCACGCACACCATGGAGTGGAGGGAGATCCTGCTTTCTCTCTCAAGGAGCAACTAGCTGGATACTATGTTACCAGGGCATTGGAGGGCCTACATTTTCATGTCACTCCTTATGAGGGACTGACGATCGGATATGCCTCCATTGTTCGGCATCTGCCGGCAGGCAGTCTCGTGATTGTAGAGTCTCTCAGGCGGTTAGTCTGTGAGGCAGCGGTGACGGCGAAGTCGAGTTTCAACGAGCGAGGTACGGGGTCTGAACAGGTGGCGGGATGGCTAGCCCGCCAACCACCGGGCCGTAATAATCACCTGCAGCCAGAGGGTGGTGGTGTTCAGCAGCAGAAGGACAGCAAGAATCATCGTGCTGGTCTTGCAGACACCGGCATGGCGGGGAAGCAACAAGCGGGCACGGAACTGAAGGACGGGGTGGAGGAAGAGGAAGGGAATGACATGGAGGTAGGAGGAGGTGTGAAACTTGAGCTGCCTGCCTTCTTGCAAGCTTTGGTCTTCGTGTTGGTTCCGCTTGTTGATGTGCATGTGCTCCCTGGATATCTGGCTATGGTGTCTTCGCTTGTGGAAGAGATGGCTGAGCCTTCGTGGCAGGCAGCGGCCTTGGCAGAGCTATTTGGAGCTGTGACGGACTCGCACGACTACACCAGGAAACCAGTGCTCGTAGAATGGTACTTACGTTTGAAGCACAAGGTAGGCCGCCAGCGGGAGAAGGGAGCGAAAGCAGGACGTTCCGGAGTGTCTTTGGCCGCGACAGACAGTGGAGATTTGAGGGAAGCCCACAACAGTGGCATTGAGGTGGCGGTACTGTCCAAGCTCTGACTGACGTCCGGAGATACCTGGCGACTGTTTGATTGATTGATTGGTAACGTGGCAGGATCAGAGGTATGGGCCCAGTGTTGGTTGGCATAGGGCCTCGCTCCACCACTCACTCAGCAAATGTGCAAAACGAGAGTGAATCTTCCTCTAGAACATGGAAAGATGCACCGCCATAATTTTTGTGTTTTGTGCATGTGGTGACTGGTGGTGTGAGGCCCATGCTGATCCCCTCTTTGTTCACTGTCGAAGAGGATCAGGGTGGCTGTAGTGCTTGCAGGAGAGGCGACTGTGAAGCTGAAGGAGTGGAGGAGGAGCTGCACATCCTGTGTTGCTGCCAACCAATGGGTTGAGGTGATTCACGTAGTTGAATTTGGAGACAGACAATGGTGAAACAGTGCGCAATTTGGCTGAGGACGGCACAGCACAGGTATGAGTACAAGAGATTGTTTGTGTACATTACGCCTTGAGCATCAGAAAAAGAATCCCATTGCAATTGTCTTTTGGAAAATGGTATATGGGCGAAAGAGATTGTTCTGTAAATTTACCAAACACTTGTTGAGCATCCGAACGTTCGGTTGTTGAGAGTACACACACTGTGACTTCCAACAGTGCAAAAATGGAGGGCAAAGCGGGGTGTCTGCCTGAACCAGACCAAGGCTTTTCCCCCATTCCTCTTGCCCCCCCCTCCAAAAGTAAAAAAAAAAGGGCCAATTCAGAAAATTCTTTCCCCCCCCAGAGTTCCTACACCGGCACTCCATGAAATGGAAAGGAAGATTGAAGGTTAGGGGATGAGCAACTGAATGGTGGTTGCTTGTGTTGAAATAAAGATCTCAAGAAGGAGCGGAGGTGCAGAACAGGTCGATAAGAAACCACCGTGTTTTCGAGTCTGTGGAAGGGGGGGGCATTCTGCAAGAAGTGCATGGCAATTTCCAGCCTGAAGCCAAAATGAGCCTCAGCCTGGAATAGAATGCATGGTCATTATGGCTGCATGTGGACTGAAAGTTGCACCAAATACGGCTGTAATGACCGTATATTCGGGTGGAGACTGTTGCCAGAGATGGTGGGACTGTCTTAATGTAGGCATAGGAAAAACTTGAGAGGACTCCATGACATGCTGCTCTTCAGCCCATCAGACCACCTCAGGCGAAAACCCTTCAATGGCTGCTACTCTATCTACCAGTACCTGTGAGCAAAAATGGCTAAACAAGAGAAGAAGCAGAGCAAATAGAACTCCCCTAAAGGAGTTGTGTGCTAGCTGCACTGGAGGACAAGTTAGTAAAGGACATCTACTACCATTGTTTCTTTCAGTGAAGGAGGGTGGCTCCACTCTGGGACAGGTTGGGAACCCTCTTGAGGAATTACGCAGGTCGGCTGGTCCCTGCTGACTTGCGGATGGCACTGCCCGGGTTCCGTAGCACCCGCAGTATGGAACCCATGGAACCAACTTGAGAAACTGATAGACCGTACATTAACCCCACTCTCGTGTCCGGGGGGACGCGTGGAAAGAAAGGCCACGAAGTGGGGCGTCTTTGCTTTGGATGGATGTCTGAGTGGTTGAAGGTATCAGTCTTGAAAACTGACATATTACAAAATGTCGGGGGTTCGAATCCCTCTCTCATGGAACCAACTTGAGAATAGTTGCGTCCAAACGCCACTTAGGAGGAAGGCCCTCCTATGGATAAATGGGAAAAAACAATGCCAAGAAACCGCAGAGTGGTAGACGAAAAGGATATGTCACCTCAGCAGCAAGCATGGTTACTCGCCCAGTGACTTGTGGGCGTGACCGCTCAGGGGACGACAAGGGAACGACGGGGTGGTCACTCCAGTAGCCTCACCGGGCTTTCGTAATTTACCATGGGGGGGTGTCTAGACTCTAGATTGTGATGACCCTAGAGAAGAAGACAACAGCAAGAACTACAGAAGAAACAGAGAGGACAGGGAAGGTCTTTTCCAAAGACAGGAAGGACATCGTGAAGACGCACCTCCTTATACAAAGCTCGGCCTGAAGAGGATCAGGGTTCTTTAGAAAGGGTGACGACCTTGAGATGTCGTCATCACGAGCTGACCGGCCCCAGGTAATCCAGAATGCTTTTGTTTTGATCTCCTGATTTTATCTGGATTCGAACTTCAGTCTGTATTTCAACAGTTCATTGGCATAGCAACTGAGCTACTGTCTTCACCCGAATAGAACGCCCGTTCATTATAGCGGTATCTGGTACAATTTCGAGTCCAGATACAGCTATAATGACTGGGAGTTCTATTCGGGTGAAGACGGTAGGCTCTCGTTGTATTTCAGGTGGACCCCGAAGTGCAACGGGTGAAGAGGGCCTAGGGCTCTGGAGGATCAGGTTGTTTCAGGCGATCCTGAAATGCAGGGGTTGAAGAGGAGCTAGAAGAGGCTAGGAAATGAGGAAGGTGCAGAAAATAGGGGCCACCAGACCAGGGGTAACCCCCCCCTCCAAGTGGGGAGCAGTCAATGGTGCCGGTCAAGATTCTCTCTCTCGGCCATCATGGAGGCAGACAAGCGTGTGTAAGTCGAGAGGGAAGCAACACCTCCCAACTGACATTGGACCTGATCTCCAGCACTTGTATTTTCTTGTGTACCATAAAAAGATAAGGGATGCTGGACCCAGTCTCCAGCAGGTGCAGCTCCCCACCAATAGACTGGAGCATTTCTTCGTTATCTTGAAAACCAAAGCCTAAAGAGAAAATAGGGTGCCCAATGGATGATGAAGTCCGTCGTATATTAATATTACTACGAGCCCCGTACAGCCAAATGAGTGCGGTTCATGACAGGAAGGAGTCTTGTCTTGCTCAGCCAAGTCTGGCAGGAAGGAGTCCTAAACCACACTCATTTGTCCGTACGGAAGGATAGCCCACACGACTCACGAGTAAAGAATTGAAGTGCAAAGTTGCAAATTGATAACAAACAGAATTGGGCCAAGAGTTTCCACAAAAATGGCGTGCACAACTATGGCATTCAACTTAATTACATGTGCCCTCACTGCTGGAAAGTTAATAATGCATGTCTCCTCACTTATAATTGTGACCCTATCCAGTTCCTCACATTGCAGCCATCGCCCACTGGATAGAAATGGAGCACCACTATGTCCGTTCGGAAGATGAGACTCGATCATGCCTGGCATGCAACTGTTGTTCATGGCATGTGTGGGAGGGCAAGTGCAGCTCTGGTTTATCTCAAAGAATGTGTGTGTGTGTGTGTGTGTGTGTGTGTGTGTGTGTGTGTGTGTGTGTG